GGGGGGGGGTCGTCATGTCGTTGTGGTGGGGGCGGGGGCGGTGGTGATGGGAAGGGTTCGAAGGGCGTAATGTTTGAGGTGGGTTTGGGTGTCGATCATAGATAAATAGTTGCTGCTGCTGCTGCTGCTGCTGCTGCTACTGTTCTCACGCGTTCGGCATCGAGTCATTTGTCGTGACACCTTTGTTGATATGTGTTTTGTATGATAGCACAAGGCGAGGCAGCGCTAGTAGATACAATACAGCCGGTGTATTTTCCGACCGTCATATTTTTGTTTAATCTTGGGTCGTTCTAAACTGTTCTTAAGGTACTTCGTTCAGAAGAAGATCACGGAAGACCCTCTGTGGAAAGCTCTCACGGTAACGTTCTCCGGTCACGAGGTGAGACAAGCCGGTGCAAAAGAAGTGCAGAATTACGGCCGTCGAAGTGCGACATGGGATAAAACACCCAATTCAGATACCACGCCCGTTGGTAGCAGCAGCGGTCGTGACGTTCACGGTGGTATGCGTGGGGTGTACGGCAGGTGTTCCGCTGCCGAAGTGCTACAGTACACGACGTATCACACCCAACCCAGATCACCGTGTGCGGGGCAAGAGAAGAGCAGGCCGTCGATTTGAGGATACGTGTGTAGTATCCGGGCGTGTGGTTTGTAGTGGTGTGTGTAATGTCTCACCTGCCCGGAAGGCTATCTGTAGCCTAACCCTGGGAAGTACGAGGTTCTCAAGTGAGGGCGTTGTCTGCATGTAGTGTGTAATGTCTCACCTGCCCGGAAGGCTATCTGTAGCCTAACCCTGGGAAGTACGAGGTTCTCAAGTGAGGGCGTTGTCTGCATGTCACCTGATTCGACGGCGTGTGTGGTCCGGGCATAGTGAACCGATGGGCCCCCTGTGCGTGCTGCCCCCGAGACGGACGCGCGTGGCAAGAGAAAGAGTCGGTGCGCCTTACAGAGAATGGAACTCCGAAGCAAGGAAAAAGGATCGATCGTATTTGCCTCAGACTCATGGCGCGGCGCCTTCCGCCGTGTATGTTCTCCCTCCTGTACAACAGGTGCCCGGAGAAGGGGAACACAAGATCATGGCCTACATCCGGGATGAAAGGTCGGCGGGGCGATTGCCGCCCAACACGAGGTGAGATTATTTAGAAGGCTCGTCCGTTGCTTCATGGAGGCGTTGCATTTTCTTCGATTGATCCATCGAACTATCAATTTAGGTATAATATGTAATATATAGTATAGTGTATTGGGTAGGATGGTTCAGCGTTGGGT